CATTTTTTTCCGGTAACAGCAACAAAGCGGCTGGCCACCCTTTTGGATTTTTGCTCGAGGTGATTATCGTGTGATAGTGTGAGTTTCTTGACCAATCAGTGCGCGAGATTTTCTATAATCACCTGCGTATTTTTACTAATACCTAATGATATGTTTGCGTTAGARTAGCACGTAATGTTTAGCTTGCAGTCCAGCTGGCTTGGTGATAAGAAGCTAGCGCTGAAATGAGCTACTTARCTCTATTTTGTTTAATTCGCTTTAAATTATGTTCATTCACGTCCTCATTGAAACTATAGACTATTTGTCAGTCGGCGTATTCAGCGAGTCTGTCAGATCTCAGGGTCTTTAAAGCGAGAAATTGGATCCAGAAATAAGTCATAACTTTAAAGCTCATTGAGAAGTGCATGGTTCATTCCATAGGTACTACACCTTTTTTCAATTTGGCCTCGATTGCTAAACGATAAAACAGCTAAATAGCACCTAAACCTATAAACGCCCTAGTGATCCACCATGTCTTTAAATACAACAGCTGCAGCAATGGTAAAYGCGACTTTTTCTAGATTCGAAGACACTCTCCCTAAAAAGATCATTAAGGTAATGATGTACTGYATMCTATTYGTAKTSTCATTCACTGGTAACCTGYTTATTGTATGGGCAACAAGTAGAGACATTCGACTAARAAGTACGACCAATATTCTGATTGCWAACATGGCGGTYAGTGACCTAATCTTTGCTTTATTCTCGGTGCCAAGACGTGTCGTGAACATCTTATATAGCAATATTTGGTTGATTGAAGGAAACTTTGGACTAGCTCTTTGTAAGCTCGCATCTYACCTGCAAGACGTTTCTTTGGCTGTATCTATTTACAGCTGTGTGTTTRTCGCTCTCGATCGCTTCTACGCTGTAGTTCATCCACTCAGAGGAGGTTTGAGCAGAAGAAAAGTTAAATACATCATCCCAGGGATCTGGATGTTCTCGATGGCCATGTTTTCCAATTATTTTTTTTCTGTTACGWTTGTGAAGAAATTAAACTGGAAAATATGCATTCATGATTTCACAAGAATTGGTATCACAACRATCCTACAGTTAAGGATTCTTTATTTTGTGATATTTGCGCTTAATGTTGGAATCCCATTACCTATCATCTCTATCCTCTACTTACGCATCGTTCTCAAGCTCCGACGAGCTGCAGTACCAGGGCAAGCAGGGAACACTTCATCTGTGAGGGAGCGTCAAAACAAGAATGCCCTCAAAATGTCCGCCGTCATTGTCAGCCTTTTCTTCCTAAGCTTTTTACCTTTTTCAGTGACCGCTTTGCTGATAAATTTTGGAAATCTTGATAACTTAACACCGGCTGTATTGAACGATTTATCTTTTTCAACGATTTTAATTGCAGAATCAAGTACTTGCTACAACTTTTTCATCTATTTGGTGTTCACTCAAGTTTATCGACAGAATTTCAAAAACTTGTTTTCAAAATGTACCTGTGTGCATCGTTTTTCAGGAAGATTTCGCACCAATTCTTTTGCTCTTCAAAACAATGTGGCCGGAATTGAACGTCAAGGAGAAGTCAACTTGAATGCGATCAAAGACCTTGATTGACTAGAATATTGCAAGCAATCTCGTCCCCATGGTCCACTCGGACGACTCCAAGTCATTGCGGTCGTCGGGGAAAAGACCCTGGTGTTGGTTTAACTATCGCTAACGTTGATTGGCTAGTTAAGATGACGTCATAATTTATTCTTACAAGCGTTTCTATTGGTTTTAATTTTAYTCCTAAAGTTCTAAATTCAAAAGCCCGCCATTTTGTTTGGGCCCCCGAAACGCCGAACTTTAATACTGTGATTGACGGGCAGTCTATTGCCGATTTCCATGTCGCGACTGGAAATATATATCTATATATAATGGAAAGTATATATCTATCTATATATATATGGAAATATATATACATATATATTTAACAAATAAAACAGCTTTTTCCGTGCTCCCTTCAGTAATAAAGTACGCAGGAAGTGGCGCCCGGGGGGGGGGGGAACTACCACCCCAACTTGGGTAGGGGTGTGCCGCCAGGACCTCAAAACCCTGACCCTATCCCAGACCTAAAAATTTGGTTTTACATACCCTACCCCAGACTAAAACTAAGAATTGTACACCCTATCCCAGACTAAAGGACGGAAAAGACGGCTATTCAATAGATTGCAATCAATATTTACTAACGTTTTTATTGTTTTTGGTCGGCAGAAAGCGTAACCTATACGCCAAACAAAAATGACCAAATCGTTAACCCTATCCCAGACTAAAATGATACCCTATCCCAGACAAAACGTCAAAAAATAATACCCTACCCCAGACCCAAAAGCCGAAAAACCATACCCTATAGGGCGGCACATACCCGTATAGCAAATATAGGAGAGTACCTCCCTCCCCCGGGAAGTGGCGTAAGTATGAAAGAAGTGTAAGGAGAAACACGAGCCGTAGGCGAGTGCTTCTGACACTTCTTGAGTRTTTACGGTGCTTCCTAATTGCTTTAAACTTTTAAACWTTTTGATTACGCTAGGTCTGTGGTCCARTGATTGAAAAATAAAGARAGTTCTCCTTCAATTTAGTAAATAACTTTTATCGTGTTTTTGGAAAAGTAACGTTTGGTGATTTGAGAAAGCTTTACAAAAATAAATCTACGATTGGTTAACTAGCAATTTTGGGAGAATTGAAAAGTTCATCTTTTTATAGTTGTGGAATCCTTTCATAAAATAAAATAGATTATTGTGTGTGTGTTTTTTGTTGTTGTTTTGTTTTGTTTTTTTGTTTTGCTTAGAAAACAGTGGAGATAATCTTAGTTTTCCTGAAGAAGCGGAAAAATGGCCTTGGGATGCCGGTGCACGAACCCTTACATCCATGCAGTTCGTGATTTTCAAACTCTTCTCTCTTACTCTTTCAAATGTGATTTATTTAATCTTTTCAACGCCGAATTAAAGTGTCGTATCGTTGGGAAACATTAACGGGATAAAAGGGTTTCGATTCGTTTTTAAAGAGGTGCGATCATTTAACGCTTTATTTCTTGACGCGGCTCTCTGTACATCAGCTTTGAACCATCAGTTTTCCTAAGCAGTACGCAAGATCTAAAAATAACTTTTCGGGAAATCTGATATTCCAAAGCTAACAGCGCGAGAGTCTCTCTCTGTCCTTCATGATCTCTAGATAAAAACTAACGTAAACTCGTACAAGACTGGGCTCATTCTCGTGCCCAAACCCCTCTCAGCTTTCTAACGAAARATCTTGCTGAGAAGGGTCGGGGTACTCGTTTCACAGTGAACAGATGGAGCCAATTCTACTACGTAATTCTAATTTTTTAAAACACGCTTGCCTAATTTCAAATTTACTTGTTTCATAACCTTTTTTTACGCATAATTACGCTGTTATCTGTAGGGTAAACAAGTCATGGTATAATAAGCGTTCGCGTTTTATTATTATTATTATTATTATTATTATTATTATTATTATTTCAATTTCATATTTTAGAGAGTAGAACAACGAACAACAAGAACACACAAATGCACCGAATAAGAGTTATCTCTCATTGGTTTTTCTATAAAATAGAATAGGAAATAGAAATGAAAACTGATAAGGAATTAAAATGTGAAATTTTGCGACTGACGAAAGCTAGAAAACTAATTAATCGAACAGTGAATGTGTAAAATCGGTACATTTGAGCCTCGAGCAGGTGAAACAAAATAAATTGACAGATACTAATTAAAGAATTTCTCATTCTGTTTGCGAACATAAAATTTACTAAAATACACTTTACATATAAAATGTCATGTAATACTTTGTCCTTTAGATTCGAGAACCGTTAGCGAGAAAAATAGTCATAGCGTTTCCTTCTTGAAATAAAGTTGTTACTCAGTTTTTCTACTGACAACCAGGTGTATTGATCTTTCGGTTTAATTGTATGTGGATGATTAGTTTACTCAAATTTTTGAATGCATTGCCCATACAGACGGCGAAACAACTCGCAGGCACCTTTCACCACTGCCGTGGAACATCCTTCATCCAAAGGTACCTTTACGTCCAGCCAGCAATATTTCATGGGTCCAAAACGAAAACATTTTCTATGCAAAGGGAATGACTAAATCTTTGTTTATTGGAGCCTCAAACTAAACGATAGCACGACAAAATAGCACCTAACACCTAACCCCCCTAGTAATTCACYATGTCTTTGAATACAACAGCTACAGCCATGGCTAATGGGACCTTTTCCGCATTGGAAGACACTTTTCCTGTAAAATTCGTTAAGGTAATGATGTACTGCATACTACTTGTAGTGTCATTTACTGGTAACCTGTTTATTTTATGGGCAACAAGTAGAGACATTCGACTAAGAAGTACGACCAAYATTCTAATTGCAAACATGGCAGTTAGTGACCTTCTCGTTCCATTATTCTCGATGCCAAGAAATATCTCCTATATTATCTTTCATCCAGGAATATGGCTGATTGATGGTGACTTTGGACTAGCTCTCTGTAAGCTCGCACCTTTTCTSCAAGACGTTTCTTTGTTTGTTTCGATTTATAGCTGTGTGTTTATCGCTCTCGATCGCTTCTACGCTGTAGTTCATCCACTCAGAGGAGGTTTGAGCAGARGAAAACTCAAGTACATYATYCCAGGGATSTGGATCTTTTCAATAGTTATGTTTTCCACATATTTCTTTACTTTTACGCTTATGAACACAGGAGATTCAACAACACTATGCATCATGGATTTCACAAGAATTGGTTTCACAACAATCCTACACCGTAGGATATATTATTGTGTGGTTTTTGCGCTGAATATTGGAATCCCATTACCTATCATCTCTATCCTCTACTTACGTATCGCTCTCAAGCTCCGACGARCTACAATACTAGGGCAAGCAGGGAACACTTCATCTTTGAGGGAGCGTCAAAACAAGAATGCCCTCAAAATGTCTGCCGTTATTGTCAGTCTTTTCCTCCTCAGCTTTTTACCTTTTTCAGTGACCGCTTTGCTGAAAAATTTTGGAAATCTTGATAACTTAACACCGGCTATATTGAACAATTTATCTTTTTCAACGATTTTAATTGCAGAATCAAGTACTTGCTACAACTTCTTCATCTATTTGGTGTTCACTCAAGTTTATCGACAGAATTTCAAAAACTTGTTTTCAAAATGTACCTGTGTGAATCGTTTTTCAGGAAGATTTCGCACCAATTCTTTTGCTCTTCAAAACAATGTGGCCCCAGTTGAACGTCAAGGAGAAGTCAACTTGAATGCGATCAAAGACCTTGATTGACTTAAATATTTTAAAAATTACGTATGACACTCGCTCAGGTACTGTAAAGTGTTAACAAGGTAACGCATGAGAAGAGACAAGGGATGTAACTCGCGAACAGATATTTTAATCCATAAAATGCTATTCATGAGGTTATGATTCACTGTCTTTCGAGTCGGTCCGTCAAATAATGATATTCCTAAAAGCCGGAAGAGGTCTGTCCAGTACCAACCAAATTAAATAACCGATAAATATATTTCTATGGGACTTTTTCACGCGGCAGCCATGTTGGTTGGAACAATAGATTCTACCACGCGTAGCCTCGCATACAAGAGTTCGAGGCCCCGTCCACACGTATCCGGAAATTTTTGTATCAGCAAGTTATTTTTTGCGGATACGAAAATGTTTGCGTCCACACGCAGCGTATTCGAATCGTTTTCACCGTCCACACGTATCCGTTTTCGTAAAATTTGCGGATACGGACACAAGAATTTGCGGACACGTGTGGACGCAGCCCGTATCCGCAAAAAGAAATTTGCGGATACAAAAATGTCCGGATACGCGTGGACGGGGCCTGAGAATGAGTTTATGCGGGTGAAACAGAGGTTTTTATTCTCTTTTTATTTATGAGGATAAACATGACTGCCATGTGATAAAGGTCCATACTACCAGCCCAGAGCTGAATGAATGAGTGAACTTTTATTTATACAGGGTAGCCCTTTCAGTTACATAAAATAACTGTTATCAATAGGAGCCCTGATAAAATCCATACAATAATAAATATAATTTAAGCAAAATACTCAAATATGGTACTAATACTATGCTATTAAAATATAAAATATAACGCTAACGCATAATACTAAAAAATAATGCCAAGGCCAGGCCTTGGACGTCGACCCCCACATGCCCCGAGTCCAATGCAAACGAGCAAAAAAAGTTCAATTGCATTGGACTCAGCACATGCGAAAATCGACGCCAAAACCCGGCCCAAACATACATGACCTACACGCATGTATATATTAGATTTATAAATATCTATATGAAATTTACATATAAATGATATAAAACGACGATACGAGAACGTGTAGAAAAATTTAGACGAAAAGAGAAATTATGTTAAGAATGTATTATAAACTGTGCATCCATAATAATAAAAGCTGCGCTTAGCAATTTCCGTTCTTACCCTAGGCAAATGTAGAAGGTGACTTTGTCTAGTTTTGCRCTTTGAAACACTACTATTGAATTTAAAATAGTGAGTGAAAAGTTGTGGACAGCGGCCATTGACGCATTTCTTTACTAGCTTAAATGTATGATGTTCACGCCTACGAGAAAGTTTTCCCCACTTTAGGGAATCCATTGCGCTGTCACTATCAAAAGATTTAGCAACTATGCGTGCTGCGCGTCTTTGGAGCCTTTCTAGATCTTTGCTATTCACCTCACCGCAACAGTGGCACACCGTATCACAATAGTCTAATATAGGACGAATAAATGAAATATAAATGATGTTTGCACAATGTGCTGTCAAGTTATGCCTAATGCGCCCTAACATCCCGACCTTTTTTCCAGCCTTAGCCAAGACATATTTTACATGTTCATTCCAGTTGATTTATTCTCGCTCCTACGGTTTAGCCGAAGCAAATAAGATCCTCTCGAACCAAGGGTAATGTTCGGCCTTTAGTGAAATATTTWAAAAAAATCTAAACTTGAATGAACGAATAGACCTTTCCCGAATTCGCTTGAGTGACCACGAAACGATGGTTTGAAGTCGAGACTGAACTTGATTCTTTTATTCATCAAGTTCAACCTCGACTTCAAACCAATGTTTCGTGGTCAGTCAAGTAAATTCGGGATAGGTCTATTGAGTAAAGAAAACTCGTATAAGACTTGACTTTTCCCCATGTTTACTTTCTTAAAACGTTCTCATAATTACCTAATTTTAAACCTAAAACTGTTTCCAAAACAAACATACTTATGCTGTCATCTGCGTAAGGTAAAGAGATCATGATCATTATAACCGTTCGTGTTTTAGCTTTTTTTTAGAGAGTAGATTAGTTGTCGCTTTTATTCAAAAAAGAAAAAGAAAACGGAAAGAAAGAAATGAAATGAAAACTGAAAAGTGATTAAAATGTAAGTTTTTGCGAATGACGAAAGCTAGAAAACAAAGCAATCAAACCGGCAATGAACGCATAAAATTTRAATAAAAGCCTCGAGTAGGCGAACGAGAGGGAATTTGATTGACAGCTGCTCTAGAAAAGGATTTCTCAGTTTGTCTTGYTCATATTTTAAAGGCTAGGTTTTATTCGCTAGATGACAGAGTCTTTGAGGTTTGTGTTCCCATATTAAGGAAACTTAAAGCAAAGAKAATCTCTCTGCAAACATATTATATCTTTGTACCCACGTATGATCGTCTGGGTTAATGTAGTCTTGAGAACAATCTTTCTCAAAACTATTACACTCCRCTCACCCCGAACGATCACACTTCAAAACAAAATTGAGTATTGTCAAAGTCTATGCAGTTTTGAAGACCACTTTTACTCTAGGGTCGATCTTGTACCGATTCACAACCATTGGGAATGGATGACCTTAAAAGAGGATTTAAAGTACTCCTAACCTCTGATACAATACTTTCAGTATTGGTTCTAGATCAAGTGAATAGTTGAATGGTGAAATATTACTTTATTTGAATGTTGCGTCTTTAAGTTATGAAGGTTTCTACTCAGTTCTATTATGTTGCTGACTGTGACGTCGCCCAGGCTTTTGAGTGTATCGGTTTTAATTTTTAATGCCAAACACTAGCCATTTTAGGGCATCAAATTTAAAATAAACATTGYGGAAACCTTGAGTATGATGATGATGCTTTTTAGCTCGTGAAGAGCTATTGGTTTGGCTAGATTTCGCATTTTTCGGATACGATTCTCAGCCAATCGTTTTGGGTAATTCCCGTAACCATGGAATCCATTGTATTAGCCAAGTGACGTCACTGGAAGAATCCTCTTATCGAGTAAACTACCACTCTTTTCATTGCTACTCGTTGATCGAGACAACAGTTGCGACAGGGAAATTGAGCAACACACTTCCGTCAATCAAATAAATAATTGGTCGGTACCTTTATATTCTCTAATTGATTGCAGTGTATTGCCCTGTTGCGACTGTTGATCTCGATCAGCACGTAGCAATGAAAAGAGTGGTAAGCCAATTTTTTTCTTAAAATAACATGAGTTGGATGGTGTCTCAAAGGCGCACCGTCAAACTGCCTATTTCGCTCTGCACTACAGTAAAAACCTGCATAAAAGAACAAGTGGGTTAAGAACACCCAGCCTGAATTTGGGCGTTTTAAGTACCATGTAAACTAAATACACAATCAGCCTGAAAAATTAAGAAGTGTTCTTAAAAAAAATAAGATCAATAATTATGTGCTAGACCTGTTTTGCAGTACAGTAATAGAGCTCAATTCAATTTTATTCAATTTTATTATAAATTTAGATTGAGTGCTATCAGTAGCAGACTCCAAGCCTGACCTGACAATAATTTATTTTTCTACTGTTTTGATACAGTTATTATTGCAGTCATGATTTTTTTAACAACATTTTTGAACTTACACATTGATATCACCTACATGTATTGCTAGTCTATATAGTAATACTGTATATATTTTTAGAAACATTTATTTTAAGAACACCGTAAGAACACCTTCAGGCTGATTTTTCAGTAAACACCCGTTTAATAATAACAAAATCAGCCTCAACTCCAAAAATGGGTGTTCTTTTATGCGGGTTTTTACTGTATAACCAACAAATCCTTCTGCAACTTTTGACTACTTTATTCTCGTAGATATATTCTATATTTGATAACTTAACTTTTTACTAGGTCCCCGTGACGACGTCATCATTTTGTAATTTCTGTATTGAAGAGGGGTATTTCAAATCATGGAGAGATCCTGCACTTTAAGAGAGATGTAGTTCGACTGCGGTAAAACTGGAAGATTTTTATTTATTTATTTWTTTGGCGTGGCGATACATCAAAAATTAGTCAGAGTAGTCTTCTATCGTTGTAACAACGCTCATGCTTGTAACCAAAGACTCTACAATTATGCACCATATATTCCTGCACTATTTTACCAAAAACCTCTGGAAGTTGAAACTTGTATTTTCTAGAACGCTTCAGTAAAAATTTGAAAAAAGACTTTCTAAGACAGGCCCTTAATCATTACTAATGTGCTGCACTGTTTCTGTGTCTCAACAGTCTATAAACAATCAATTTTTAAAAAAATATTCATAAATTCATCTCAGTTCATGGTAGTTAATGTCAGTAGGAATAACTTTAGGAATAGAACGTAGGATGATTTTTGAGAATAAAATTTCAGTTATCTGTRCTTCAAGGAAGAAATGTACTACTATATACAACAGTATTCTCATTCAATATTCCAGTTAATTCGGTTCATTTAACCCATCTACGTCCACTTCTTCTTGTTCAACTGGGTCCACATTCTCAAGAGGAAAGGAATTGGTGCGAAATCCTCCTGAACAAGGATTGACACAGGTACATTTTGAAAGCAAGTCTTTGAAATTCTGTCGATAAACTTGAGTGAAAACCAAATAGATGAAAAAGTTGTAACAGCCACAGGATTCGTTTATGAAAATCACTGAAAAAAATAAATGTTTCGTTGCAGACGGTGATAAGTTATCAAGGTTTCCAAAAAGCCACAGCAACATGGTCACTGTAAAAGGTAAAAAGCTGAGAAAGAAAATGCTGACAACCATGGCTGACATTTTGATGCCGTTTATGTTTTGACGCTCCCTCAAAAATGAAGTGTTCCCTGCTTGTCCTGGTACAGCAGCTCGTCGGAGCTTGAGAGCGATACGTAAGTAGAGGAAAGAGATGATAGGTAATGGGATTCCAACATTCAGCGCTGATATTAGCAGGAAATAAATTCTACGGTGTAGGATTGTTGTGATACCAATTCTTGTAAAATCTATGATGCAGTTTGTCGAATCTCCTGTCTTCCCAAGCGTCTGAGTGAAGAAATATGTGGAAAACATGGACAGAGAAAACATCCAGATCCCTACAATGATGTACTTGAGTTTTCCCTTGCTCAAACCTCCTCTGAGTGGRTRAACTACAGCGTAGAAGCGATCGAGAGCGATAAACACACAGCTGTAAATCGAAACAGCCAAAGAAACATCTTGCAGGTGARGTGCGAGCTTACAGAGAGCTAGTCCAAAGTCTCCTTCAATCAACCAAATATTGCTATATAAGATGTTCACGACACGTCTTGGCACCGAGAATAAAGCAAAGATTAGGTCACTAACCGCCATGTTWGCAATCARAATATTRGTCGTACTTCTTAGTCGAATGTCTCTACTTGTTGCCCATACAATAAACAGGTTACCAGTGAATGACAATACGAATAGTATACAGTACATCATTACCTTAATGATCTTTTTAGGGAGAGTGTCTTCGAATCTAGAAAAAGTCGCATTTACCATTGCTGCAGCTGTTGTATTTAAAGACATGGTGGATCACTAGGGCGTTTAGTTGTTTTACGAAATATTAGTAAACTTTTAAACATCTACTTATACTGACTTAGAAATCGARATTTGGAAATTCCTCGGTTGACCGTATGGAGATATTCTAGTGGAGATGCCACTTTTCTTCCCGAGTCGCGTTCACCATTTGTGAAATATACTGAMAAAAAGATGGGGAAAATGCAGTGTTTAAATATTTATATACTTAACCACCAATACGCCGACCCCCGATAAGATATTTGATTTCACTGTAATAATAAGGAAAAGAACCACAGCATGACCCATGGACCGATAAGACCAATGAGATACCGAGTGTACCAATAGAGAAATATAATAGCAATTATRGTTTGTGGTTACTAAGAGGATAACTGTCGATTAGTGAGCAAAATCCATTTAAAGAGTTATTAGATGCATTTCATGGATTCTCATTCAACTTACCGATTTTTTATGACTTTATCGACTTCAGAGCCGCTCTGTAAATCACCTTGTCAAACATTAAAAGAATAAAAAGACCTATGATTGAACAATAAAAATGACACGTTATCTCGCTAGACAGGCTGGTAAACTATCACCTGCTTCYCGACTAAACCACGTTTTAACATTCATGTTTCATTGCTTACTAAAGGTGGTGTTACACGGGCTATCTTGCAACGCCGATTTTTCGCGCAACRCTGTTGCACGAAAAATCGTTGCCGTGCAACATAGCGCCGAGGACGATTTTGCAATATTTCACTCTGCAACACGTTGCAAGTTTTTGATCTGGCATCAAAAACTTACARCGCAAGATGACAAATTTTTAGCAAATTGATGTGTGTAACATGTCCATCGCCGATTTGAAGCGCAGCAAAATGGCGCCGACTGTAGAAGAAGTAAGTTTAAAGAGTACAGCAACTGCAACGATTGTCTAAACCTAATGAAATCCGATAAGATGAAACTTTTGGAGTTGATAAAAAATGATAAAAGCAAGAAAAGAAGAAAAAAGATAGCCGTGAGTGAGTTGGCAGCGCGTGGACTGAATGCTAAAGTGAATGTTGTGCGAAAAGTTGTTCCCGTGTAACATGTCGCAAAAAATCGACACACAAATGGCGCAATAGCGTTGCACGAAAAATCGGCGTTGCAAGTTGTGCTGTGGTGTAACAACACCTTAAGCCGATAGTTAATAGTAAATTTGATATCTAAATTTTAACTATCTAAAATTTTGCCTTTTTTTAATTGAATTTTTTATTTTATTATTATTCATATTTACTATGCTTTCAACAAACTGTTAAGGAGAACTAGACAGGTGATATCACCTACAGGATAGTATCCCAATAAAATTACAAAAAACGTATATTATAAATAAATAAATTCAACAAAACAAATAATAACGCGTACTGCGTGTAAATATAAGAAAGATCCAATAAATAACTAAATAAAGGAAAATATCTAGGTCCTTCTCGTTTTTCTGCTCTGTCTGTAAAATAAATAAGAATGGCGCAAAATTCAATGGATAAACGCTTAATTCATCATCATCTGTTTAACCTCCAGATGACATACTGACATATAGATCCAGCCAAAAAGCGGATTTCGAAATGAGTAGACCGGCGCGGCACACACAAAAAAAGTTAAAACACATTGATGATTTGCTTAATGGGAAATTATATATTTTCCATTAACAAAAGTAAACACATAAAGTATTATTAATGACTTAAAAGTAGAACTTTTAGTACAGATTGTGTCTATGTAAAATGGAAAATGTTTGAATAAAATGATGGCTTTCTTAAATCATWTGGGAAGAATCGATAAAATTTTAAAAAATCCACTAGCAGATATAATATCGTCTGTTAACCGTTAAAGCTAAAASAACTCAGTCTCATTCAATTTTTACTTAATTTTCTTAGTTGTACTATACTTTGGAGGATAGACTGTTAAAGAGAAAGGGCCAAAACACGATCCGTGTGGCACTCCATGGCCTGTTATGTTTTTTTCCTCCAAAATCGAAGTACAAATTTATGAATATGTCTCACTAATTGGTGCTGGTCCAAAAGACTTTATTTCAAGTAGTCGAAAACTTAATTTTATATCAGGATTATACATAATGAATTATATCCATTATTTTATTAAGATTTTATTTATATCTGAATTTACATATATTATCCTTACACATGCTTATTGGATAACTTTAAACAAATCCTGTCTGGTTTACATTTTTTCATTTACCTGAATTTAAATGATTGTGAATCCAAAGTTTCAAATCATTACAGAATCCACTCTAAATTTTCAATATATAAGGGTTATAAATAATATGTGGTCGGGGATAGAGTATTCAAGTTCTCGTCGACACAATAGTTTTTCTTAAGACTAGTCACAATTCTGGTGAAACTAAGCTAAACTAATGCTACGTGAATTCATYTCAGTTCACGGTGGTAAACGTCAGTAGGAATAACTTTAGGRATAGAACTTTAGGATTACGATTTTTAAGAAAATAAAATGTTGTCAGTTAGTTTTGCTTAAGAAGAGGAACCGCACTTCTCCGGTCTCGTTGGAACGTTATYTCTTCATACCAATACCTGAGTGAGTCTCATACAATATCCTATTTAATTCAGTTCATTTAACCCACCAACGTCCATTTCTTCTTGTTCAACTGGGTCCACGTTCTCAAGAGCAAACGAATTGGTGCGAATTCTTCTTGAACAAGGATTGACACAGGTACATTTTGAAAACAAGTTTTTGAAATTCTGTCGATAAACTTGAGTGAACATTAAATAGATAAARAAGTTGTAGCAGCAACTCGATTGGGCAATGAATGTCACTGAGAAAAATATTTTTTTCCTGGCAGCCGTTGACAAGCTATCAAGGTTCGAAAAAAGACTCAAAAATACTGAGTACACTGTCAAAGGAAACCAGCTGAGGAAGAAAAGGCTGACAACAACGGCGGACATTTTGAGGGCATTCTTGTTTTGACGCTGCCTCACAGATGAAGTGTTCCCTGCTTGCCCTGGGACTGATGCTCGTCGGAGCTTGAGAGCGATACGTAAGTAGAGGATAGAGATGATAGGTAATGGGATTCCAACACTCAGCGCAAACATTATAAAAATGTAAATCCTTAAGTATAGGTTTGTTGTAACACCAATTCTTGTCTTATCTTGAATGCATTTTGTCGAGTCATCTGTCTTCACAATCGTAACAGARAAAAAATAATSGAAAAAAATGGCCATCGAAAACACCYAGATCCCTAGAATAATGTACTTGAGTTTTCCCTTGCTCAAACCTCTTCTGAGGGGATAAACTACAGCGTAAAAGCGATCTAGAGCGATAAACACACAGCTGTAAATCGAAACGTCCAAAGAAACGTCTTGCAGATAATGTGCTAGCTTGCAAAGAGCTATGCCAAAGTCACCGYCAATAAGCCATATTTCTGGATAAAAGATGACATGAAGAATATGTCTTGGAATCGCGAATAAAGCAAAGATTAGGTCACTGACCGCCATGTTAGCAATCAGAATATTGGTCGTACTTCTTAGTCGAATGTCTCTACTTGTTGCCCATACAATAAGCAGGTTRCCAGTGAATGACACTACAARTAGGATGCAGTACAYCATTACCTTAATGATCTTKKKAGGAAGAGTGTCTTGGAATCCTGGAAAAGTCGCATTGGCCATGGCTGAAGCTGTTGCATTTGAAGACATGGTCGTTCACTAGGGGTTTTTGGTGTTTTGGTGTGTYTATCGCTCTCAGCTCGATCACTTTTTTGCCGTGCTATCGTTTAGYTCAAGGCCTCAATGAACAGATGTTTAGTTGTAATTCTAGTAATCATGAAATATGTCYTAAGTACTTATCAATCACCATCTGCAACAAGAAAGCTATTAACCACCAAATCTTAGAATGAAGTTAATTTGAAAAGAATTATTTTCGCTTTTAGTTTCGCTAAACGTCCGACCCCTATGCTGGTCACACTATTAAAATAGCCGTTCATGAATGATGTTCCAGTAGTCCCCTGCCCGAAATGTGTTCCAGACTTTCACTGTCTTTATTTACCCTAAAGATGAGAAAAAATAAACAAGTCGGTGAGCCTGGTCTACAACTGAGATCATTAATCAACTGAAAGACCAAAACGCCGACTTACATAGTCTATGATTTTATCTGTGATGATGAGAAAAAGGACCAACGCATGACACATATATGCAGTAAAATTTTGTAAAGAATTGTAAATTATGAATGKATTCTATTTTAACCGACTTTTATAACTTTATCAACTCCGTAAAACTCAGTTTGTCAGACATTGAATTACGTTGAAAATATAAAAAAAAAATCTTAATTGATGAATAAAAAAACAGCCTACCATACAATTAGCACTTTGAATAATGTAATATCATCTGCTGCCTTAGTAAACTACATTTTACTTATTCATGTTTTATTCTTTTTTAACCGACTTTTATAACTTTATCAACTCCGTAAAACTGAGTTTGTCAGGCATTGAATTATGTTAAAAATCAAAAAAAAAAAAAAAAAAAAAAAAAGCAAAAAAAAAAAACTCAATTGATGAATAAAAATACAGCCTACCTTACAATTAGCACTTTGAATAATGTAATGTCATCTGCTGCCTTAGTAAACTACATTTTACTTATTCTTTTTTTTCATTTAATTTCTTTAAAAAACTATTGAAGCATGTGTGTGTTCTTGAATCAGTTAATCGTTCGTTGTTCTACCTTGTAAATTAAAAGAAGAATCAATGATTCCAGACAAAACCTCAATATCCCATCGTCTGCTTAACCTGTGAGACATTGACATAACGATCCAGCCGAAAAGGTTTCAAAATAGGTAAACACACGAACAAAAAAGACATTGATGGTTTTAAAACTTCTTAATTGAAATATACATTTAAGAATTTTCATACTGTTTTCTCTGTCAACTTAAATGTCTGACCTAGACGTTTCGAGGAAGAAGAAAGGGAACCAGGGATCGAAACTTCTAGATGTAAAATTGTATAGGAAAAGTGGTCATCCTGTTTTGTTTATTATGAGATGAAACTCCGTCCCCATACCCCCCCCTACCCCCCCTACCCCATGTCGAAATGTTCTTTTTATTTCTGTTGTTTTTTTTTTGTCACTGATGCTCGTTTCAAGGGAGGTAGAGTCACGTGACCTGTTAGTGCAGGTCGTCTATTGGGGTTCTTTTTTGGCTTCGCTTGACCAGATTGTCCACTTGAAGGTGGGGAGTTTGATGCGATTGCGTATAGATCTTTCTCTTGGCCGTGTAAACCAATACAGCGTATAGTGGCGACCCGCATGGCGCGCTAATATGACTCCCACGGCTTGGTTTTCGTCGATAACTTCCACAATTCGCGAGAAAAGTCAAAACGGAGGGATCAAGTAGTTGAGTGTTTTTCTGTTTCCAGTTTTTCTGTACAAGAGCATCCACACCRTTTGTAATCGGGTTCCCCAAGTGTGGTTGGTTGCCATTATCACGCCCCCTGTGGCACTCCATTATCAAATCGGAAACACTGGGTTTAATTTAAGTTAAGGATCCTGCCATTTAGAGGTTATGAGTGTAATAAATATGTTATCGTTAAAAAAACATATTTAATTTTTTATGTTAAAACATTAATAATGAGTGCAGCAGTTTTTTCCTTGACCAAAAAAAAAAAAAAAAAAACACCGGCGGTGTAATAAATAGACGTTCGTCTTTATCTAATGGTTCTCTTTATTCCTTTCAATACTGTTTCGTTTCTGACAAAAAATAATTTCTCAAACASTGATTTTTGAAGCAATAAAGATTTAACCTAGAAAATTTATTAGATGTCTAGGAGTATTATAGTTATCTTGCAAAAGGCTAGACTTCAAATTTGCGGGAAAGGTTTTCAATTCATTTTAAAGAGCGTTTATCTATTTTCGCGGACGCTCGAGGTCGAAAAATACACCTTCGTATGGCCAAAGATTTTAATAATATAAATAATCACTAGTTTATGTATTTATTAATATATATGTTCTTTAGACATGCTGGTGATTTAACTTCAAAGTTTAATAGGCCATTTGCAACAGTCACATGCTGATATTTCACTTTGCCAACGAATCAATTCAGCCAAAGGTYYCTYGGGGAAGGCTCTGCTGGATGGCAVACAAACTTKAAAATGCTTTGTATCTTGAAATCAAAAGAGGGAAAAAAGTTTTTTGGAAAAGGTTTTGGATATGACATTAGCAATCCATCAAAAGTTTTTTAAATAAAGGAAGTCCGAATTTTTTCTCATCCAGCAACAGTCATGCAATTATTTTTTGCAAATGGCCTCATCATCAACACTTTAATTTGACTTTTTTTATAATATTGTTCCTAATGGCTAATGAATAATATGTGGTTCAGYTGCAATGCTCTTATGAATTGGATTTTGTCCATGGAAATAGGAAGTCTTCGTAATTAAGTTGCCATAATAGCTTCGCTCGAGGCTTTTGCTTGATAACCCGTTTTTCATTCCAAAAACACTGCCTAATCGATCGAAAACATGACTTCTTCAGAATGATAATTAATTTGAGAAGACAGCTGTGCAGACGAAGTTAAAAATGGAGTTTGGGAGGCAAGGCACTCGATTGGAGGGGAGTCAAAGTGGTTCTATTGTTTCTGACAGCGGTATTGGAAAAATTGCGGTTAGTAGATGATGTAGGTGTTAGAATATTTGATCAGCCTGGTCCAGGTGTAGCTGAGTCTGTCTAGGATCTTTTCTGTTAAAGTTGTCGGGCCTTTTTAGAGTTTCAATGGACTTCTTGATAAGTCGGGATAAGTACTTAGCTTTGGTGAAAACTTGTGGTTTTTGTTTAAGGGACCGGTCACAATTTATCTCCTGGCGGGGACGTTGTTTGTGCCAGTATCATAAAGATTAATTGGTCTCCCTCAAGGGGCATAATAATTCTTTATGATCCYCCTTTATTAGTAGTTGCTACCGAGGGGTTCCTCTTTGATTCCTCTCGATGTTTACCTGATCCCCCTCCAGTTGTCTACAAAACATATAATAGTCCCTTCCTCATTCCTCCAACCCTCCTCAGGCGAGAAATAATGATGACCAGTCTCTAATAAAGTAAGAAAGATCGGCACAACAAAGACTTTGACGATGTTCAAGTTCTCGCCAAACGGCAGTCTTAAGAGGATTAATTTTATGAGGCAAAGTTTTTCATAAATTTATTGTTTGTGTGAATATCATATCCATGCATACAACTCAAGCGAATAAAATGTTGTGAGTTAGTTGTACTTCTACGGTCTTGTTGTCCAGAACTTTCCCAAAACACAACAGTACCTGAGTGATCGTCATAAAATATTTTTACCAGTTAATTAAGGTYATTTGTCCCATCTATATCCAATTCTTCCTGCTCAACTGTTGCCACGATCTCAAGAGCAAACGAATTAGTGGTGCGAAATCTTACTGAAGAAAAATTGAAGCAAGTACATTTTGAAAGCGCGTTTTTGAAATTCTGACGATAAACTTGAGTGAACACTAAATAGATGAAGAAGTTGTAGGAGCAGCTCGATTCTGCAATAAAAAACACTGAGAAAACTAAATTGTTCCATGTAGTCGGKGATAAGCTTTGAAGGTTTCCAAACAGAATGAGAAATAATTGTACTGTGAAAGGGAACCAGCTGAGGAAGAAAAGGCTGACAATAACGGCGGACATTTTGATGGCATTCTTGTTTTGACGCTCCCTCACAGATGAAGTKTTCCTTGCTTGCCCTGGTACTGCAGYTCGTCGGAGCTTGAGAGCGATACGTAGGTAAAGGAAAGAGATGATAAGTAATGGGATTCCAAAATTCAGCGCAAACATCATAATATAATAAATCCGAAAATGTTGGTTTGTTGTGACACCAATTCTTTTCTTATCCTGGATGCATTTTGTCGAGTCATCTGTCTTCACAATCGAAACAGAAACAAAGTAATCGGAAAAAGTGGCCATCGATAACATCCACATCCCTGGGATAATGTACTTGAGTTTTCTTCTGCTCAAACCTCCTCTGAGGGGATGAACTACAGCGTAGAAGCGATCGAGAGCGATAAACACACAGCTATAAATCGAAACACCCAAAGAAACGTCTTGCAGGTAAAATGCGAGCTTACAAAGGACAAGTCCAAAGTCACCRTCAATCAGCCATATTCCTGGATATAAGATAATATAGGAGATATGTCTTGGGATCGAGAATAAAGGAACGAGAAGATCACTGACCGCCATGTTGGCAATCAGAATATTGGTCATACTTCTTAGTCGAATGTCTCTACTTGTTGCCCAGATAATAAACAGGTTACCAGTGGATGAAACTAAAAATAGGATGCAGTACGCTATTACCTTGATGATCTTTACTGGAAAAGTGTCTTCRAATTCCAATCCAGAAAGAGTGGCATTTGCCATAGCTGCTGCTGTTGTATTCATTAAAAGCATAGTGGATTACTGAAGGGTTTAGTTTCGTAATAGGCGATCTTTTGTCGTATCTGATGGTCAGCATTCAGTTCAAGGCCTACAAACGGAAAAAAGGGGTTAAAGGGCGTAGTAATAATGGACTTAGCCATTTAGTTCTAATAGCTTGATATCAATCCGGCGACCGACAAAGTCTATGATTTCACTGCAATAATAACAAATGCACGACCCTTGTGGCTTTGAAACAGCTATTAAGAAAATTCTAAAGTAATTAAAGTGCACTAAAAAATCTGATTGGCGATTAGTAAAGTCTTGTAARGAGTTATAAATTACAAATTAATTCTCTTCCACTAATTTTTACAACTACTTTAACATCAACGACTCCATAAAACATTGTTATCAATCATATAATTGGTTTAAAATGGAAAAAAAGCTTAATTGAACAATAGAAATGACATGTTGTCTTGGTAGACGGAATGGAAAACCCACCCTTTAAATTTTCAATATTGATCCACTGTCGTCACCTGCTTACTGAATAAACTACATTATAATGACGGTTAGATTGCTTTTTTAAATTGTTCATGGTTTTTCCAAATTTGATCTTTGCAAAAACTCATTACCTATAAAACTATTTGCATAAAAAATAAAAGATAAGGGTAAAAATAARATAAAAAAGAGGCCTAAATGAATGACTCACTGAGGATAAGAGCTCTTAATGTACCATCATCTGTTTGCCCTTAAGATGGAATTGAAATGTTAACATATCGATCGAAGAAACCGCGGAAAAGTTGTCGAAATAAACCTAAAAAGTAACAACTATAATGTTATGAAAAATTCATTAGTGCAAACGACCCCCATGATCTAGTACATCGTCTTTGTGTTAGGGATAGAACTAGATTAAGGAACCATGCTAATAAAGTCGATATTATTCATTAACAAGGCCAAAAAATTCATGGAATAATATTATTTTGCCTTGATTTCCACCTGCGATATGCTTCAGCTGGTATTAGGTCGCTATTTATATGGCTAAGGGAATTCTTCTTTTTACTTTTTTCTCGAAAAAATGAATTTTTATAGAAATTTGTTAGTTAATTGCCCTACTTCACTATGACGTCACATCAAAACAATATTCAACAATCTATTGTTTAAACGCAAAGGAACATGGTCGTCGGACGGGGTCAAATCAACGCAAGCTAACCGAAAATTGTGCTAAAACCCGTATCATTCCACGAAGAGAAGTAGAATAGCCAGCAAACGCTCAGAATATCTTTTAGTACATATTAACACACATTATATCTGAAAACCAGGCCATTTTAGATTAAACTGTTTCGCTAGGAGCAAATTTAGTTGAATTTTCTATTGGATTTGGCGATTCTATCCCCGACATAAACAAGCAGTGACGTCATAGTGAATTAGGTCAATTATAAACGAAAAGAAATCCTTTTTTTCCTTACAAAAATATGTATGGGATTCCTGTGGCTTGATGTGTCTTTTCCCAKCGGTCATTGCTCCAATATGGCGGACGTTGACAAAGATGGCGAATTTCGAATACAAACTAAAACAACGACAGTTGAGATAAAAAAGCAGCCTTTTATCTCACAAACTTCCGTAAAATCTTGTTGTTTGGTACAACAGTTTCCCGAAATTAAGCATAGGGTCTTGCAGTTCCTACAAACCGAGCTTATCTTATAACAGAAAATATTTTTTATCTTTGAACTTTGAGCTGCTTGGAAATACAGGAAGAAACCGTTTAAAATTGAAGCTGTTTAACCATGTCTTTTAAAGCTAAGGTAAGTTTTGTTTTAAGTAAAAGGCTTTATAAATTGATTTCGCTATGACATCTGCAAGTAAGCAGAGAAAAAATCAAGTTTGACTTTAATTAAACGATATTTACTGAATATTTTTCTAATAAAAAAGTTGTTAAATTGAAGCTCATATTTTACAGCTTRGTCCTGCTTTGTGCTTAGTTGTACTAACTAACGGCCCTAAAGAGAAGCCGGTATATCTACCAGTATGTGACTATCTCTTTGCACAAGGATGTACTCCTATCGAAGTTAGAAGTCCTGGCGAAGCTCTTATTCACGCGCGACAAGCCAAGTTTTCTCTGATCATTATGCCTGATGATGATCATGAACTTATAAAGAAAATCAAGTAAGTCATTCATTTGAATTTCTTAAAAGAGATGGCATATAGATTGAAGAATCTTTAAAGTTATTAGTTAAACTGTAAACTATTTCTGTGTCGAATAAAGCTTCCCAAAATACAACTCAAATGATAATAATAATTTTTTAAAAACTGAAGATTTAAAGATTTTTGAGTTTAATATTTCCAAAAGAATTCGAAAATATTATTGCTTTGCGTTGTTGATTAAATATTCAGAAATCTCTTTTAAAAACATCCTCTCTTCAAATAATATAGTTGTGAAAAAATGGAGGTTTTTTTTTTTTTTTTTTGGGAGGGGGGAGAAGGGGTATAAACTTCTGCAAATGTAGATTGTAAAAATTCCACTTATGCTTCTTTCAATCTCGCAGGGCTCCTCATGGACTTAACGCCAGCACTGTTATCATAGCTGTGTCTTCAGCGGAGAACTTTAGTGGTAAGCAGCAATCGATATTTCCTTAGATGGAGAGGCGGGAAAGGGATTCAAAATTCAAATGAATTTTGTTTTTATACTGACCCACCCAACCCTTCCAAAAATACTCTATCTCGTTATTATTATTTTTGATTCATTTTTGATTCATTTGGCATTTACACTACAATACATTAACTGATCTAAATAGTATATATATATTTTTTAATCTAAAATGTTAATCAAATAGTAATAATGATTTAAGAAATATAAAATAAACACTGGTTTTTTGTTTTTTGTTTTTGTTTTTTTTTCGTCTTTTCTCTGATATTCAAGGAAAACAAACAATGTTTTAGCCATTCCATCCAAAAAGTCCTACTCTTTCACCCCCTCTCTCCCCTCCCCTTCCTTCCCTCTTTCCTATCCATCACTCACCGAAGCGATTTCTAAGTCAATTTTCTTTCTTCTTTAGCAAATATAGAGCTTTAAGAGTGACGTCAATCGTACAGAAAACGACTTCCGGGTCCAAAAAATAAATGCACTTCTTTTAGAATTTTTTGCCTTTTTTCCGCTTTATGACAGGATTTCTTGTCCAAAGTTCGAATTGTTTCAGCTGGAAATTAAATTTTTGCGGTTTTTGCGACCAGTTGGACCCGAAAAAGTCATTACTTAAAATAAAGCTTTATTAATTTTGATCTAAATGCTTTTGGTGTCCAATAACATAGTATGCATTTCATTGATTTTAGCGTCAGTGCAAGAGATGCTAGATCACAAGGTTATCCAACAAGTCGTTAGAAAGACCTCCAGTTTTGAAGAATTCCAGAAAGACCTTCTCGAGGCAGTCAAATGTCAGTTATTTAGTGAAGAAATGGACGTAAAAGGTAAGATGCTTGGACCAAAATATATATCCTACGCAAATAATACGGTCACCATTACCAAGGTAACGGTCAACGTTCCCATGGCTATTCCCATGGTTCCAAGCTTGAATTACTTCGTAAGTATATAGCAGTCTCACCTCGTTTTTATTGGTTTGGTCTAAATTACTCCAGGTTTTCAATTGACTGTCTACTAAATTTATCTAAGTCCAATGAATAAATAAGCTCTACTGTTGCTATGGTAACTACTATCGTCATTTATTTGATGTTAAACTCATCACACGTAGATGAGCTTGGCGTTGGTGCTTGGGTGGGAGGAGCCTCGGGAACTCGGCGGAGGTCAGCGGTAACTATGGCAACCCTGTCACCTCCCACCTAGCACCGTCACACTGACTTGGCAGTGGAATACTTACCTATACTTACCTTAGTGGAGGG